CAATACTGATGTGAAAGAGCACCATTTCCATTTTATTGTATGCCACTGGCGACGGAAAGATTGAGATATCTGGGTCTTTGTTACCATTCAGTGCATCTTTTTTTACGGTATCGGTTCTGGGCATCGAGGGTCAATAGATTCCTTCGTCTGGTTCTATGGAAGTTTTGCGTTTAGGGCCTGTTTCATAGAGCCTCCACCCCCTTAGCCGTTTGTCTTGCGTTGGGTGAGAGCGTTTTTTTTTTTGCTTCCGTTTCTGTGTCAATGGCCAGTTCTACGTGTTTTGTTCACCTGCTTGTTTTTTTTTTTGTTCTGCTGGACCAGGCCTTGTTGGTGTGTGTATGTGTGTTTTAGACGAAGATGAACCTTTCGGCAGTTGGAGACAGCGATAGTGCTCCCCAAGGTGACATACATCAGACTCTTCTTAAGGGCGATGACAAGCCAGCCGCTTCTGGTTGCTCTACAACGGCCGAGGAGGATGAAAGTGTGAGTTTTGACATTGATGAGCAACCACTGTTTCCCTCCTGTCCGTACAGTTGTGCCGATGGTGACTTTCTTCACTTGTTTCGGTTTGTCAAGCAGGAGGAAGCACGCTCAATTCACTGTTACTCCTCGTGGACTGTGCGCGGCGATGATGACTCCTCCCTCGTCGCGTACGTCGAGGTAGAGGATGACGAGAAGTGCTTCACGCTGGGGTTTTGTGGAGCCACAGAGCGCGTTGTGGGAACATTTCTGCAGTACTTTGCGAGTGGGCAAACGATGCATCCAACGGATACACAGGAAGTGCGGAGGCTCTGCATATGTCCGTGGCATCGACGAGCTGTTCTTCTTGCTGTTTTAGACGACCAAATAGTCTCTTGTGTTCAACTACCTTCCGCAGAGTGTTGCCGGACGAGAAGTGTCAAGGGAAAGGCACAGCAGCGGCAGCAGCAGCAACAGCAACCTCAAAAACAACAAGATGAGCAGTCGTGCGGAGAGTCGGAGTCTGGGTCCGCTGCCGTGGATGAATGGCGTGTGGTGGTGGAACACAAAGGTCGGGGTTTTGTGCGCTTCTATGCCGTCGAGCGGCGCAAAGGCTCATGTTACTGCGATGCCGCCTTGTCGCAGCTCAGTTGACGTGAGGTTGCACGTTCACAGGCGACGTTGTTCCCTGTTATTAGGGGAAAAAATGCCTCGTGTACGTTCAGGCAAAAGGTTTTGTATCGACTTATTTATATATATATATATATATCTTTCTCTCCATTATTATTGCTACACGTAATAAAGGGGGGGGGAGAGAAGGACATAACAAAAAGCACCTGAACGGATGAGACGCGCGTTAGTTTTCTCGGGCCAGGGGTCTCACCGTCAGGGTATGTCAATGGAGTACCTGCGAGTGCCTGAGGCTGCACGTCTCTGGGAGCGCATGAAGGGGCGAATGGAGCAGAATTATGGCGTCTCGCTACAGGAGATCATCACAGAGAACCCGAAGAAGATACACACATATGATGATGCACTTGATGTGGGTGCGATTTGTCAACGGAGTTGCCGAGAGGAATGCAACTCGGCTGAGTCTACCCCGCGGCGAAAGGCGATATCACACCCGCAAGGTGTCATGTCGCTAACGTATCTAACACAGCCATGCATGTTGGCGGCGCACATGACGGCGCTGGAGTACCTCCGTGTGACACGTGGGTATGCCGCTGAGACCGCCGCTGTCGTTGCCGGGCACAGCCTCGGAGAGTATTCGGGGCTATGCGCGTTGGGTGTCTTTCCTCCTGAGGTTGCCGTCGACCTTGTATACAAGCGCGGTGTGCTGATGGAGGATGCCCTTGAGCAGTTCTCTATGAACCGCGAAAACTACGTCATGTACGCCTGTCACCCGGGGAGGGCAAGGTTGCAAGATGAGGATCTTGACGTTGCGGTGGATCGGTTTCATGTTTTTGTGGAGCTCATTGCACGATCTCTTGCCACAACAACATCATTCATAGAAGTTGTGAACTATAATATTGAACACGAACAGTATGTAGTGGCAGGAGATCGGGTTGGGCTGTCCGCGCTTGGAAAATGTCTGGATCCGCAATTTCGTGCGAGCATATGTGGTCCATCCGCTAGTCTTGACCACATTGCTCGCACCGCGGTGGCATCTGTGTGGCAGGACAAACAGGATGGGATCACAATGCACCCCAACAAGGGACCAGAGCCGGATTTCGTGACATCTGCCGTGCGCAAGTACGGCATACGATCGACGTTTCGCCGGTTTATGCGGGGCCCTGACGACGGGTACACGCCGTCGCTGGAGGAGCTGACACACCTGACACTGCAGGAGGATGGTCGAAGCGGGCTTAAGAAAAAGTCGTGGTTCGTCCCGCTTCCAGTAGATGTCCCGTTCCACAGTAGCCGTCTTCGTCGGGCGATGGATTTATTTCTGCCGGTTGTGCGCGATGCTCTGCCGGAGGAATCTGCACTGCGTTCTGTGTTTGGTCTGCAGGGCGATTCACATGGCAAAGCCGGTGGGTCTTCTGCGGCATCGACCGAAGAAGAGAATCGACCCATATGGTTGACAAACCTCACAGGCACTGCGTTTCGTCCCTTCGACGCCAATTTCCAGCGTGACGCACTGGAAATGATGGAGTCAATGAACGTGGGTGAGGTGCGGCACCACGGTCGATACCAGACAGACCTTGTTGCGAATGCCTTCAAGACTGGTGTGAAGGAAGGAAGCGTGCGTGAAATGTGTGCTGCCCTTCTGGCCGCTCAGCTGGCGCATCCAGTGCAGTGGATCGACTTGATGGACGCCGCTGTCATTGGCGCAGGCGTTCGTGAGGTTCACGAAATTGCACCTGTGAGAACAACAGCCGATATGTTTAGGCGCACTCTCTTCCGCGAGGCGGGTAGTCGTGTGGGAACCACATTGGATGTGGTAACGCGTTGCCTCCCTGCAGAGGAGCGTTTCCTGTAAACAGCTTATGCTTTTATGGCACGGAATTGTATCCGTCCGATTTGTCGTCCACTTCTGTTGGTTCCAGTGTTTCTAACGAATAGTAATAATAAATCATTCTGTTCCGTACTCTTGGTTGGTGTTGCGTGTATCATACTGCAGATCATGGTGTTTTTTTTTTGCTTTTGCTTTTCGTTTAACTTCATTCGTGCTGCGTAGTGTGAATGTTCCGATTGCAGACGCTCCGCCTTGGATGTGCGGGGCCATTCCGTGCAACAGGGGCGCGTCTGCTATGGTGGGGCTACAAGGAGCAAGACCTTCACCGTCTTGCCCGTCAGCGGCCGTGGTGGGAGAACGCGGCCATCTTCGCTGGACTCTTGTGTTTCATTCAGGTGACTAGCATCTGCTACTACTTTGGAAATCGTTGGTACCAGGCTTTACGGCCCTCCGGCAACAATATTTACCTAAACAGCGCAATGGACACAAAGGTATTCTCAAGGCCTGACTTATCGGTGGCAATGGTGCGCATGGTTATTCACCACGCACTCTCCGGCGCACAGACACCATTTGGCGCACCAATGGTTTATCCCGAGTACCTGCGCCCCGAGGCAGAGGAGCTGATGGAGTTCATCCTCCAACTACACCGTGAGCAGCCTATGTTCACTATACCCGACCTCTGGGCGATGTTGTCGGCGAAGGCACTCGCTCGCCTGGGTGGGCCGAGCATCACAGTACGCCGTGGGAGGCCACACCCGCCGAGCGACCTGGCAGAGGACCAGCTGTTGGTCGTAACACCTTCCCTCGTTCCTGAAAAAAAACGGGATGTGCTCAGCATGAAGCGGCTTCTGGCGGGGCAAGGCTTCTCTGTAGAAGAAATTGCTGGCATCATTGGTGGTATTCGCAATATTGGATTCCATGAAAGCTTTGGATTCCATACAAAAGCAGAGGTAAAGCCGCAGATGCGCCGGCATCCGAGTCTAATGGGCCCTGAAGAAGATATTTTTCATCTACCTGAAACACTGGAGAAGTGTACCTTGGACCCCTATGTGTTTGGCGGGGAGTACTTCGATCTTCTGCTGGATTACAACTGGAAGCAGGGTGGCTTTCTTAATCGCCGTAGTGGTCTCTTTCGCTGCGACGAGAAGGATCGGAAACGCGAAGTCACACTTTTGGATCCATTTTCAGAACAGGCTCTTATGAAAGAAAGAAAGCGCCTGTTAGCGCAAGAAAAAGCACGTGAGGCGGTGGAACGTGCATCACAAAAACGGGAGAAACTGGATGACGCTGAGGAGGAATCCGTAACAGGCCGTGTAGGCGAGGCGCAGTATATACCTGGCGTGGACGACAATGACGATGCCGGTGATGACGCAGGAGACATGGGAGTTATGTTGGAGGTGCCAGAGTTCAAGAGTCCTTGTTCAAATGTCTCGATGCGGGAGATCGACATGTTGCTCTTGGATGATGCTCTCTTGACGGGTTGGTTACACCGTTTTAGCGCCAATGAGATTCAGTTTTATAACGTCTTTGGTAACGTTATGGAGAAAATTCAGTCGCGTGGCTACAACCTTAATTCTCTTTACACACCAACATGAGAATCTGTTGCCTTGGTGTTGTGGTTTGGGATCACCTTGGATACTTATACGAAGTGCCTCCCCGTATATATATATATATATATATACAAACCCTGAGCCACATACGGCCATTTTGTAACTCTTGTCACTTCCCACAAGTGGTGGAGTCGGAGGAAAAAACAATGTCGCCGACTCCACGTTCACTCTATACACCATTATTCGTGCCACTTCTTGCTGTTATTATTTTCATTGATGTAGAGGTGGTGTTTATGGAGGAATCACGTCAAGAGAAGACACAAACTGTGGCGGCAGCGGCGGCGCTGAATGTTGATGGGTATTTGCGCAATGCGTCGAGGCGGCTCCGCATCCCCAGCGCACAGGGCGGAAGGGGTACACGGCGCAAGTTGGCAATGGTGACAGCAGCGAATGTGGAGAGTTCACACCAGCTCGCAGCAGACGCCAACGCCGCACAAGCCCCCGATATGGACGAGGAGTGGGATGAAGTAGTGTTGCCGAATGCCGGCGTCGCAACTGTAAAGAAAGACGAAGAAAGGGCAAAAGCGGAAGAGAAGGTTGACTTCCACGCAGTCAAAAAGGATGTTGTCCCGTCCACTCCAGGTGATGGCAGCATCAAGGCAGAGGCGCTACAGGTTGATGATGAGGGCATGGACACTGATGCGCAACCATCAAGGGAAGGTACGCGACCTCCGTTGGCTAATACGCCAATGCGACACTGGGGTCATCGAGACCCGGCTTATGAGAGGATGCTTGAGCAGCAGCAGCTTATTGCTGCCCAACGGCGCTCCGAACGTATTCGACGTGCTGCAGAGGGTATTTCTCTTTTAGTTTTTGCACTGCAACGTGGCAAAGTGGTCGTGCGTGAGTCTCGTCATCCGATGTTGGTGCGGAGGTTATTGCGGCTCCGGATTGGTGAAGGGATTGCCGGGCAAGCGTATCCCTTATTGCATGCAGTGCAACAGGCCAAGGGGTGTTATCAACGCGCCCTTGATCCTTCTGCGAAGAGACCCACTTTGGCGCCTTGCTGGGTGACCACAAGCAAGGATACCGTCAAGAGTCATACCTCGGATGCCATTATGGCTCTTCTTCGTGGACTCACGTTGGTGTTCACTCTGGAGAATGACGTTAGCACTGAGGTCTTGTCCAACTGGGCTGCCCCCATCCAGTTTGAGTACTTTTTTAAACTGTTAGCGCAGAGGCAAGATCCATCTCGCGCATCTACGGCCTTCAAAGTAACGGTTCCACACTCTTTGTATTTGTGCGCCGCATTTATTTCACTTGCCACCGTTACAGGCATGTCATGTCGGCTGGTGTTGGCGATTCAGAAGGGTCGGGTGCGACAGCTTAGCGGTGATGTTGTCGCCACAGAAACGAGACCAAAAGAGATGATGGCACCGTTTCTCTCGTTTACAAAGCGGCAGCGTACCGAGGCAGGTGGCGGGAGCGACAGTGCGTCGCAAAAGTTACCATCGTCTTGCTTCTGGGTGGAGGTGTGGTGCCCACAGCGTGAGTGCTTTATCTCTGTCAATCCATGCGAAGGCTGCACTACGCTGTGGGGTGCCCCGTACACGTTTTCAGTGGGTGGTGATGTTGTGGTGGATGTGACACCGCGTTACTTCACCAGGTACAGCAACGCCTTCTCCCAGCGGTGGGGTCGCTGCGATCAGTACCGCTTTTTTTGGAAAAACTTGAAATGGGACGACAACAGGGAGGCCTCCGAAGTTGTTGTTGACACATTCCGTAAGGATATGACGCGTTTGACGCGAGAGCAACTGCAACGGGAGCGCAAGCAACTAAATTCTCTCACCTACGCCGAGGAGATACCAAAAACACTCACAGCCCTTCAAAAGCATCCTCTTTTTGTTCTGGAAAGCGAGCTCGCACGACATGAAGGGGTGTACCCTAAAGACAAGACCACCATTGTCGGTAGTGTAAAGGGTCACACTGTGTACAAGCGGTCTGCAATTGTGAATTTGCGCAGTCAGGACGGTTGGCTTCGTGCTGGACGCTGTGTACGAAGTGAGGAGGAGGCACCATACAAGGTAGTGCCGCCACCAGCCTCACGACCCTTTGTATCGCCCTCTCTCTTCTTTGGTGTATGGCAGACCAAGCCGTTTGAACCGCTGCCACTCCGTAGCGATGGAACGCTGCCATACCATGGCAAGACTCGCTGGTACGTGCTCCTCGACCGAAAAGCACCGCCAGGTTTGGTGCACATTCATCGACCTAATATTGCTCGAGTGGCGCGACGTATGGAGATTGAGTTTGGGCTTGCTGTTATGGGTTTCAAGCGACGCCGAATAAATGAGCGTCGTTTCTCACAGTGGGAAACAGTTATTGACGGCATTGTTGTGAAGGAGGTGGATGCGGCTAATCTTTTGCATGCATACAACGAGTGGAGGCAGCTTACAGAGGAACAGGAGGCTGCCAAACGGCGGCAACGTGCCAATCGGTGGTGGTTGCATTTTGCGCAGCGTATGTTGTCTATGCAGCGTGTTCGTGAGCAGTACTTGGAGGGTGCGATGCATGGAGCTCTTTCCACGCTATGAATGTCGTTGCCTTGATAATGTTTTGATATCTTGTTAGTGGTTCTCGTTTGTTTTATGATTATGGTGGTTCAATGGATCTGCGTGGGGTAGTACCTGCTTCTGTGGAATGTGCACTACCAGCGTGACATCTGGTTGTCTATCCTTTTTTATTTTGCAAAACGGTGTCCTTGAGAAAGGTAGCGTGCCGTGAAGCATCCCAAAACAAGAAGGAGCGAAGGAAAGGAAATCCGTGCAACCGAGGAAGAGGAAAGGCGGGAAAAAGAAAGGAATCACACCAAAGCGATGCGCACTGCCCCGCACCTTGGTGGTGGTGCTCGCCCACAGACGAGCCGCCTCCCCCCGTTCACCGGTGTCTCCCCGCGTGTCTCGGCCCGCGACGCTGCGGCGCACCGCGGCGAGTACGTCTCCGTTGTGCTGAAGCCGACTGCACTCAACCCGCAACGCGGCTCGCTCGAGGCGCTCTGCATCGCAACAGAGGAACCGGTGGAGGTTATGGGGCTTCCGGCAGGCGCGGAGGTGGCGCAGGTAAACGAGTTTGTATGCTATGTGAACCCTAGCAACGGGGAGCTGGAGTACTTCCAGCACGGCACATACAACGACGAGTACGACGTGGAGACGTACCGCAAGCTTCTGGGTCTCTGCGCAAAGTTCCCAGAGATTTTTTAACACATGCGGCCGGGGTGACGCTGCGGAGTATTGTGTGCATGCGTGTGTTAGTGCGTATAAACCCATAGAAAGACAGAGACAGAAGGGCGGCGTGATGGCGACCTTTGGCGTGTATCCACTGCTGACAGGAGAGAAAAGAGAGAGGATGTGGGTATTCTTCAGGGAGTATGCTTGCATTTAAGGGATGATGATGATGATGATGATCACCTAACTATGCGTGTGATTGTCAAGCTGAAAAAGTGTTTAACCTTGCCAGCTGCAATGCCACTTTTTTTCTCTATTGTTTGTCTTTTTGTTTTCCTGCTTCTCAACCTAAGTCGGCGTCGCTGCTTTGTCTCTTTTTTTGCGCGCGTCTTGAGGCGGCAAGTGTGCATTTACATGTAATTGCCTGGTCATGGAAAAAGATCGCTTAGCCCCATCCCTGGAGAACACATTCCGGTGCGACGGGGGCCACTACGAGGAGGTGAAAGCTTTGTGGACAAAGCTTGCTCTGCAGCGCCGAGGGCATGTCAACGGCACGTCTGGCTTGCCTGACGTGCCGCCCATTTCTCGGGCAACTCTTCAGCAATGGAAGCAGTACCTTCTTTTCTGCCGCTGGGCCGTTGCGCGCCAGCTGGACTGGCGGGAAGTCTTCTCATATCTCGACGACGCACCGGAAGCAGCGGGTCTGTCATCTCCAGCTTCGCACTATGTGACAAGCTCAATAGTGACACCGCCAAATAAGGTGTTTCCTGGGGATGAATGCAGCTACAAGGATATTAGTGTAAAACGTACATCGCTGGTTCAAGGGAATAGGTGCCAGGCGAACACATTCACGATGCGCGATTTGGTAAGCAACTATACCAAACGCTTCGGCACATATCCATTACGCCTCCATCAGCAACGTCTCTTGCGGTGGACTAATATGTTGACACAGTGCATCGCATGGCGTCTCTCTGACGCCTCAGTAAAAGGTGTGTGCGTGCCGAAAAGGGAATTGCAATGGTATCGTCTTATTTTTGCCGCCAGGGCGCGAGAAGTCGCCGGCGCGGCGTTTCCTTTGCGTGCACTACTTGCACTATTGGAGGCTGAAGAGAACAAGGAGACGTGCGCCTCTTCGCAGACGGAGCGGGGACGTCTAGGGAGCCTTCCCTTGGCAGAGACTACCGTGCTAAACTTGACGCTTACCATTTCGTTTAGCCCCTCACCTTTTGCTGGTGGCTCACTGGCACAATATGTTCCCGCACTGGCGGTGCGAAGTCTAGAGGCGTTGTGGGCGGACCAGCTGCAGATACCGTGGGACATGGTGGATCCGAAGAGTATGCCAGAGAAAGTGCGCCAGAATTTAGTGGCGTCCTTGAATGGTGAAGAAGATAGCAATAACGTGCTGCCGGCACCGAGGAATGCCGATTTCAAGTTGCACTGTGCCACACTGAAGGCTTTAATCGAGGGTGTTGATGACGCGGACGGGATGAAGACAAAGAATCCTTTCTTGGGGCAAATGTTTGCCGCCCCAACACCGCTTCAAATGGCTTCGCTTCATCAGCTTCCTATTCTCACACGTGTGCTGGAGACTGCAGGGTACGTGTTGCTTACTAAGATTCGTTGCTTCTGTATAGAAAAGAGCTACTACGTCCTTCCTTTCCTTGCAGACTTCCTCGCTGCGGCGATCCAAGTAAAGAAGGCACTGTCGCCATACCCTGAGGCTCCTAGTGGTTCACCAGTTGCGAGTAGCGCAATGATAGAAATGTTGCTCCAGGCTATAATGAAAAGCATAGAGTGTTTGTATGCCAGACATGTGGACAATTGCTTGAGCAAATATGTAAAAAAGATGTCGAAACGTGTTTTTGAGGTTCGTGGGAGCGCCGCAACTGTGGCGGTGTCGCAGCCAATGTTTTACCTCCTGGAAAGTGTGGTGGAGCCAACGTTTGAAGTGCTCCTTTTGTTGAGCCAGAACGATTCCTTGGGGGAGGATCAAGGCTTTGCTTGCTTTATTATTCGTACGTTGAAGGCAGTGCTGGGGGCGAAAATGGACGAGGTGGAGAAAAGCAGCAAGACCGGTTCACGTGCTCAGCCGCAGTGTTGTGCCGATCGCAAGGTGCTGATGAACTATATCGACGCGCATCCCTTTTCTCTGCAGCTTCGCGCTGCTGTGCTATAAATCGTATGTTTTTTTACTAAACGTACTCATGAGGATCGAAAGTTTACCTGATTTTTTTTTTTTCCTTTGCGGGTGTTCACTTCTTTTTTTCTTTCGTTGCTCATTCTGATGTCTTTCTTCGTGTGCTTTCTTACTCCCGTAAGCTCCGGAGGACATGTTGGGGCTGTGCGTTCGGCGACTATGCCGCTCCAGTCTGTTTCAAGGGAGCACAGCGAATAGTGGGCGGCTGACGAACACCTCGCATTGTGCCAGCCATACCTCGCTGGCGCGGCTTCTAGAGCCGTACATACCGCCGACTTTTACTGCTCTCACGCAGATTGGTCGCACTGTCAACACCGAGCTGATGGAGAAAGTGTCGGATGCAGGCGGGTTGCGCAGTGTTCTAGTGGATCACCCGGAGCTGTTCCAAGTTTCAAAGGTGGGCGAGGTGTACGTGGCGTGTCGGATTAAACAGCGGAGTGGCAAGTCTGACAACCGCCGCGTCGGTATGGCGCAAAAGAATCAGCGGTCACTGGCGAGGCCTGTACTGAGAATTGAGAGTCCGCCTGAAGAGCTGTTTCATCTGTTTCCCACATTTTTTGTGCCTGTGGAGGCATTGGTTACGAAGCTGTGTGAGGCTCCTGCGGCGGCACTTACCTCTGACGCGGGCGTTGGCCACAGCCCTGAGAGTATTGTGCGCCACCATATCGAGAAGCACAGGAAATTCCTCGACGTTGTTTCGCTGAAGGATTCCAGTGATGGTGGTAGTGAGGTGGTGGAGTGTAGTTTTGTGCGCCTCCGGAAGGACCTTGCGGAGGCTTCGGGGGCGGACGAAGATGCAGAGGACGGTGAGCAAAGCATCAGCCGGCTCATGGCATCGTACGAGGTCCCGGACTACGAACAGTTCCGTGTCGCACGTTTGCTGCCCGTCGTGGAGCAGTTCGTCCCCATCTCTCAAGAGATGCGGCGTGAGGCGTTGCCGCTCCTCCAAGAGGGCCGAAGTCTGGTTCACGTCATTGTGTCGGCGCCCGAACTCTTCGAGATTCGCGACACGCCGGAACTTTCCGTGCGCTTTCTCCTCGATCCGCATTACAGACCGGTCATCACACACACACTAGGGGAGATCGAGAGGCAGCTGAATGAAATAAAAGAGGCACGCACGAGGAACGGAATGCGGGTCCCTATCGATCGCAGAAAGCGGCGCGTGCTTTCGAGGCAGCTACAGTTTCTGACAAAGCCCACACCGTACTTTGATGAGCGGGTGTTGGCCCATGCGTTGGTGGATGTGTTGCCGCCCAACGGTCCTCTTGGAATGGGTCAGGCCTTCACTCTGGTTCCCCCTGAGTGCTTGCGTTGCATGCCCCCTAACGTGCAGCGTTTTCTCAAAGAGTACCCGCACCTCTTTTGTCTCTTGGAGGGGGAGAAGGAGCCACTGGTGCAGCGCGCCGATCTTCCAGTGCCTGAGGGGCGTCCGGCTTCGAGCATTGGGGCAGAAGAAATTCTCTTACTGCTGTACAACAACTACCCGCGACGAAGGCACCCAAACGGCGGAACGTGTCTCGAGCGCTGTGTCTACACGCTGCCGTTACCAGTACGTACACGTTTGCGTCAGTTGGACTTTGTGGAGGATGTGCTCCGCAAACATTCCGACAAGGTGGAATTACTGGGCCATTTTGACGAAGAACTAATGAAGCGTGACTCTATGGCGAAGGATTTATCAAAACTACAGGTTTTCCGCTTTATTGGTGTGTATCAGGAAGAGCTGATTAAGCGCTACGAGGCGTTGTGTGTGAAACATGGCCGTGACCCCAGTACGACGAAAAGCCTGCTATGAACGATGGTAGCGCGAAGGTGCAAGGATGTGCCAATTGGTGTCGAGGCTACTGGAACGTCCGCGGTGTTTCTTTCATGCAGGGTTGTATTTCGTGCTTTTCTACACTGTTCTTTCATGTAATTGTTATGTATTGTTGATTCCTTTTTGTTTTTCTTCTAATGCCCTGTCTGCAGCAGTCGTAGCGTTTTAGGTCCATGTGGGAATATAGACGCTTCCGCTCCATCCCCCCCACCCCCCCTTATCCCCACAACGCGCCGTGATGAGAACCCGGATAACTTTACAGCTACTTAAGAGGATGCCCTCATGACTTGATTGACTTCGAAATTCATGCGAGCGATTGCTGATGCGCAGCTGGCCACTCACTTTGCCTCTTCCCCTCCTCCTCTACCTTCCGCCTCAACGCCTCCGAAAGAGTCATTCCCAACCTTCCCCGAGTGGTGGGGCAATGTAGTTGCGGCGGCAAGACTGCGCTGTCAAAAGCTTGGTCCCTATTTCTGTCTGTCTGTCTGTCTGTGTGTGTGTGTGTGTCCGTACACGCGCCCCTGTGTGATGATAAAACAATTTGCACGTCAGTTTGACCGTGATAATGAGAAGAAACCATTGCATAAGCTATTCATTAGCTGGACTGAATGAAATAGAGTGGATCGGCTGTTACGGCCGTGTGCTCTGCCTCGCTTACCTCTGCCCTTCTCTATGTGGTTCTTTTTTTTTTTCGTATGAAAAAAAAATGGGGTGCCTACTGTTTGTGGGGCTCTGTGCTTACTGTGTTTGTTTTGCAAGCGACGATTTTTGTTTTAGTTTTGCCTAGCCAATTTCTCTCTCTCTCTCTCTTATACTGCATGTTTCGTTGTGTCGTCTTGTTTTCGCTCGCTGGTGAGCTTCGTGTTATCTCCTTGTAAGGTAGCGAGGAGTGGTCTAGTCAAGAGTAACTGCGAGGATCATCTTAGCATGCCGCAAGTCTCGCGAGGGCCGTTGGAGATGCTGAGGCAACAACGGTTACCTGCCTGGCAGCCTCTTCTTACGCCGCCATATGTCGCGCTGTCATTTCTCATTGCGGGCATCATATTCATTCCACTTGGCGGTGTGATTACGGTCAGCAACCAGCGCGCGAAGGAGATTTCCTTTCGCTACGACGATATTCAGCATTGCACCAGCGCGCAAAACACGGGTGCCTTCACGTATGAGGGCAATAACATGACGCTCAAGACGGGATGTGTGACGGTGGTCAAATTTGATGTCACAGAAACCTTGAAGGCACCAGTGTATCTCTACTATGGTCTCACGAACTTCTATCAGAATCACAGACGTTATTCCAACTCGCGAAGCGATGCCCAGCTGGCAGGAGAAGTCGTGAGGAACCTGCCTGATGCTGCTCCTCTCGTTACGCCTGGTGACATTACCGGGACCTCGGAGACGCCCATTACATACGTCAATTACCCGACACTGCGCTACAAGAGTTTCTTGTACGTTCCTGCGGGCCTCATCGCGTGGTCTATGTTTAACGACACCTTTACTTTGTACAAAGAAGAGAGTACAGAACTAGGAGACACCCGCCGGAAGCTGATATGCAACTCGACGGACTTTTCACAAGGGGAAAATCTACCCCTTGAAGGTTCTGTCTCGCCGAACCTTTGTACAAAAAAGGGCATCGCATGGAATACTGACGTGGCCTACAAGTTCAAAGCGCCAAATTTGGAGCCACACCATTTCTTCTGGACAGCAGGGCAAGAACTATACACTGGAGTGAAACCGTCTCCTCCCCTCACGAATGATTCGTTTTTTAACAACGGGTGGTATGCGAATGAGCTCGGGCACTCTATCCCTGTTACGACAGATGAGGACTTAATGGTCTGGATGCGCGCGGCATCCCTGCCAAACTTTCGCAAATTGCATCGTGTTATTCATACAGATCTTGTTCCAGGAAAATATGTGATGGAAATCGGCGAGCACTACGACGTCTCATCGTTTGGTGGCACAAAGACTTTCGCGTTGGCCACATTGTCTTGGTTTGGTGGAAAAAGTTCATATCTCTCAGCGATGTACTATGCAGTTGGCGGTATTGCACTTTTCTTTTCTGCAGTGTTGATGGTTGCTTATCGCTTGGGCGGCGACCGAGCCTCAAAGGCACTCGATGATATCCTCCAGAAATAGGCCTTTGGTGGT